TCTGCCCCAACGACCCTTGACTCTTGGGACGTGTCCTCTGGGTACTTGCCTTGTGCTTTCTTGGTACTTTGATTTTGACTCATCCATCCTGCTCCTCATTAATTTTCTGCCTACCTCCAATTATTCTTCATACCATCTCTCTGCTTTATGCATCTCTTATAAAGTTTTATGGCTTTCAAAGTGTAGAGAAAGCCACACCTTGGCCTTTCCTTCATACCCTCCTTCTTGGTTCTCTCTATTCCTGACCCCTTTTCTCTCCCTGGAGCCCTCTTCAAGTTACCCTTTTGCTCTTCCTGCTGAAATCCTAACATGCTGGACTGCAGGCCAGACGAGCAACGATTTTATTTTGATCCTATATTCATAAAGGAGCAAAAATAGCATGTATTTTTCCAGAGCCCAGCCCTTCCGTACACCCCTGGAGGCATCTCTTTATCCAGATTTACACTGCTTTTTCTGATTAAATCTTCCAATAACCATTTGATGTCCCGCCACTGTTTAACTGCCCTGCATTTCTCATCTCCAGGCCTGCACTTCTGTTTGAAATCTCCACCAGGAGAGGGGGGCCTTTCGCCTTTGTAGAAAAGGAGAAGTTGGATTGGCATTTCTTAAGCTAGTGCTCTTCTTTTGGTCTCTTGTGTGGTGGAATAGACACAGCTCTTTAGCTTACTCTGACTTGCTGTAGGTAACACAGACTAAAACAAAACAAAAAAAACCCAAACCCAGCTGACTTCCCTTTCATGGGGAATTCTTTCCTGTTCCACCCCTGCTTCAGTGAATAGATGCTGGAGCTGTCAGAAGTCTCCATCCACTCCTATCTTCTCCCCCGCCTGCCAGCACTCCAATGATCTCCTCTGCCCTCCCCTGCTTTGCAGCCCCAAGATTATTAAAAGGACTATGATTGTTTTTTTTCACTCAGGCAATGGTGTTTGTGTGTGTGTGTGCATGCACGCACCTGGTGTGCCTCTGTGAGTGTGTGTGTCTGTGTTTGAAAGGCATTGTCCTATAGATATTTTTATAACCTGAAGCAATTACAGCTGTCAGTACAGAGACAAGCTGTGACAAGTTGATTTATGTGTACAGTATATGTGTATGCAAGAAGGAAGGGAGAAAGGAGAGGGAGATGGGAGGAAGAAGGTGGAGGTGGCGCTCATTAGGCATCTGCTTTCCAGGAGGCAGAGAGGAAGTTGTTTCTATAAAGAACACAAATAATGAAATTGCTCCGATTGTCATCCCTTTTTCATTAACTTGGATATGCTGGGAAAAATAAAATAAATCCAGCAGTTTTTATGAAGCAAGAAATGGGATATAAGATAAGCCACTAAGTGTTGGTTATATTTAGGGATTAGAGGATGGGAAGGCAATTGACATATGATTTTGATCTTCATCTTTTCAAACCACTCCAATAAGAGGTTTGAATAAAATTGATCCTTTCTTGCTAATCTATGGACATCTCTGACCTTTTGCCATTTCCTTAACTTCCATTTGTGAATCAAGTTTGGATCTCAGGGCCCAAGAAGCAGGTATGAGGTTGTGAGGGGATTTTCTTTGTCTGCCCTGAGAGTTACCTGAGCTCTGCTGGTTTTTCTGCTGGCAATTGCTGGGATGCTGCAGCTCAGCATCCTTTCTCATGGCCAGAGACAAAGATGGTTTGAGTGTCTTAGATCAACTGTATTCAGAAGGCTGTAAACTGCTCATCTTAAAGGACCTATAAGAATTATTTTTCTGGCTTGCCATAATAACAAAGTAGTGGCAGGAAAAATGTATTAATAAAGTATCTTCCATCTTAAATGGATTTCTAAGTATTTTCCTGTAGAGTTAATCATGTATGTAGGCCCCTTGGGAGGAACTGTTGTTGTCATTATCCACATTCCTAGATGCAAAAACTAATGCTCATTTGTACCTACCTGGGAATTAGATGCAAGAGACTGAATAAGAATTTATCATAGAAGGAATCATCCCTGCTATTCTCAGCCCTATAGGGAAATGACTCCAGATCCCAGAATGAGTCCCTCTCTCTTCTCCATGACTAGTATTTGTTTCCACTTGATGTGGTATGATGTGGTATATAAGAAGAGATACTGGAATGTGGGAGCAGGAAAGATGGTTGAAACAAAAAAGGTCACCCCTTTGGCTTTTGGGGAAGAATCCCAAATTTTTTCAGGCTGAAAATCAGCAAATATAATCTCACACCTTATGTCTGCTCTCACATAACAGCTCAATGTGGTGAAATCATTCAATTTCCTATTTTCACAATGTCCCATTGGAAAATGGAGATAAATATAGGCTCTCACAAGAATGGACTGGTGCTAAAATAGGTTAATTCTCTTCCCATTCTTTCAAAACTATAAATGAAATCCTTTTGCTTCCATAGATGTATTTTTTCTTCTTTATAGTAAAGTCATTCATTGCTGCCATAAATTGACAATTGGTATTTTTGGTTGCTATATATCAAATGGTCCCAAGTGGCCAAAGGTAGCAGATGGCTTTCCCTAAGAATTTACTATCAGTAAAAGTTACCAGAGGGGATGAAGGGAAATTGGTCTAATGATGAATTAATGCATAGTATTTTGAGACCTTCAAGAGAATGTGTTTTAATAAGTTGCTCAACTATGAAAAGTTGTTGACTATCCAATCAACAATTTGAAAAGAAAGACAAACTTCCTTAGTCTGTGTTACCCTGATGTTTGGGCCACATCTCAAAAACCTACCTCTGTTCTGACCCCCTCTAGTAAGAATGGGATATGATGAGTGAACTGTACTTGTGTCATTCTTAACATGTTATCTACCTGAAAATTATTGGTATTAGTCAAAATTCAAAAGTTGCAAGGGTCCTATTAAGACACAAGTGTCTGATAATTACAATAATTGAGGTATAATGATTCAGTCACTTTGGTGTTGAATGTGTTTGAGGAAGAACATTTTTCTGTTATTTTGTATTTTTTTTTTTAAACATCATGGTTAAATCGGATGAAAAGTCTGAAGGATAGAGGAGGCAGAGAGAATTTAGTTCTGCACTGGGATCTCAGATATTGGAATTTTTTAGAACAGAGCCTATTACCCATGAGCTGGTTGGTCTTCTCTGTTCACTTGCACAAGGGTGAGGCCCAGTAAGGGGCCTATACCACATTCTATCAGAGCTGAAGTGACAGGAGAAACAATAACCTAGGCACAGAGGGACAGCAGGCAGAGTGGATGAGTAACAGGAACTGAGGCATATCCAATCTTTCCCTGGGTTTCAAGAATAATTTAAAAACCACACCTCTTAAAGATGAAATCAGCTGTGCAAGAGTGTGAAGCCCAGGGAACCCGGGAGTCTGCAGTATAAATAAAGCAAGAGCTTACACTCATCCATCTCAGGGAGCACTTCTGCAGGGCTGGCATCTTTTATTGTCCACAAAACAAGAATAAAGAAAGCCATTGTCAGAACTTGACCAACATTTTGAAGCGACTTTGCCTGTTTTCACACACTGAGGTTTCTGTGATTTTCCCATTTTATATATGGGAGATCTCTGAGAATGGTAGAATGGTAGTATTGAGTCCTTGGGGTTTTAAGTAGCTTTTGGGCAAGGGGTGGTTGTAGGGGTGGGTGCTCTATTATTGAATTTAAAAAAATGAAATTATTTTAAAACATCCAACACTCTGAATTTACTCTAAATGCTAATGGACTTAATCTGATTATTTTAAAGGTGCATGTATGCTTGCTGCAGGGTCTTCCTTTTACAGTTTGTGACCCTTATTAAGACGTCTTAGGTTTATTAAGACAGCATGGTAACTTTGTCTTTCTTCTTAATTTGGGATGTGTTGGCTCTTCAAGGCGGGAAAACGGTTAAACTCCTGGCCTGGGCTGGTGCACCGCCCCGGCTTGGCGCGGCGGGGGTTAAGGTGGGCGCCAGCGCCCCGCGCCCCGCACCCGCCGGGATGAGCGCGCAGTCCGCGCCGCCCGCCCGCCTGCTAGCTCCGAGTCGGCACCGGGAGAAAGTAGCGGTCAGGGATGGAGCTGCTGCCATGACAACCCCGGCGGTCGGGGCCCGCGCGCGTCGGGGCTGCTCCCGGGAGGAAGGCGGCGCGGAGGCCGGGGGCGGCCGCTGAGCGTGGCGTCCGCGCGGCTCCGGTGCCGGCTGCGCCTCGCCTTCCCCAGCGAGCCAGCGAGCCAGAGAGCGAGCAAGGGGCCGCCGCACTCCATTTCTGCCCCACTGCTCCTGCCTCGGCCGCCACCGAGGCCACTGCCCCGCCGAGACCGCCCTGATCGAGGCGGTTGCACCGCGTATTTGGCTTCCGAGGAAGTTGACCGAGGCGGCTGCGGCAGGATCCCTGGTTCTGGATTGCACGAAGCCTGCTTAGCGGTCACCTCGCACAACCCTGGTCGCCTCCTGCGTGCTCTACTTTCCATCTGCTATTGTTACAGATTGTTTCTGGTGACCAGCCTTTCTCGGAAACTTACAAAGAAAGTGTTGGATTTCCCCTTGTTCGAACTGAGGAATTGCAGTCCACATCTGGGTAGCTGGATGAAACCCACCCCTATTCCCTTTCTGGTACCAAAGTGCTTACTTCCTCTCCAAAGTGCCATGTCTGAACTGTTAATGGGAAGAAGCGGTTCCTGAAACGTACACCTTGCACCTGCCTCGCGCTTCCCCTTTCTCTGCCACCTTCCCTGGCCCAAGCGGCGCGGAGAAAGCCCACTTCGGATGTCTTTCGTGGAAACTGGTTCTCCGAGGCTGGCAAGCTGAGGCTGGATTTGAGAGAGGAATATTAGACTTGGAGGAGTCTGCGCGCTTTTCTCCTCCCCGCGCCTCGCGGTTGCTGCTAGTTCACCGCTCAGTCCCTGTGCCTGCTCCCCCACCCTACCCACTTCCTGTGCTCGCCCAGGGGGCGTGTGCCGTGCAGCTGCCGGAGTTCTGGGAAGTTGTGGCTGTCGAGGATGGGGGTCTGTGGGTACCTGTTCCTGCCCTGGAAGTGCCTCGTGGTCGTGTCTCTCAGGCTGCTGTTCCTTGTACCCACAGGAGTGCCCGTGCGCAGCGGAGATGCCACCTTCCCCAAAGCTATGGACAACGTGACGGTCCGGCAGGGGGAGAGCGCCACCCTCAGGTAGGGAACTGCCACTCTCCGAATTGAGGATGATTTGTATGGGCTTAGGGTGAGGGGCAGGGGTGCAGGTGTGTGCATTGTAGCATGCCAAGGCTGGCAGAGAGGTTGCTGGTTCCCTGGGTTGCTCAATTCAAAAACGAATTGGGTACTCTGCCTGGGGATGTGACAGTCATAGGGAAATGCTCAGATTCTGGTGGTGAGCTGTTTGCCCCTAAATTGACCTCCTTGGCTTAGCGATTTGGTAAGGGTGAGGAGTAGCTGGGCCAGGTAGTCTCTGAGACTGAGGGCAATGATCCTGGCTCCCTCTGGACTGAGCCTGGTGGTCCTAGCGACTAGGGACCCGCTGAGGCTCAATGTGAATAGTCTTCTCTGAAGTTAATGAGACCCATAGGAGGGGGTCTATCTCATATAAATGCCCTCACTCCTCCATGCCATAGGGAGCTGCCTACTAGAGCTCCTGGATTCTGGCAGTGCATCTGTTTTGTCCTGGGCCTGACTGTGACAGGGTGTCTCCATGCCATGAATTGATGGGCAGAGAGGCATTCTCCAATCTGAATGTGGTTTTCTGAGGCCGAAGTCATGGAGTCCGATTTGTCTTTGGAAAATGTCATTTATACTGATGGACCCTGTTCTGTTCATACTGTCCACCAAAGCAGTATGTGCAAAACTCATCTATGGAACAGAAACTAGGTTTCAGTGTTGAGATGGGTCTCGATTGGCTTTGGGGGTTAAGGCTTAGAGGAACTGGGGAGGAGGAAATTAATAATCTTGGCTATGCTTTGTGTAAAGTAGGAGGATTCTACCTCCCTGATTACCTTTCCTACAGAAACACTAACTCCATTTCCAGTGTTGACAAATCATACCACTTACATGAGGGCAACACCGTAATGATTGCAATGAAATATTTTACTCCCTGGAATTTTTAAAGAGTAATCATGAGGTAAAAGTTAGAAAGCTTCATAGGAATGACTTCTCTGACTCTCTTTGACTTAATATGACCTCTTTAATAAAGTTTTACAAGCCAAGGAATTGAATTAGACACAAGGAAACCTAATAGTATTTTCATCCTTTGCACATGAAGATTCTTGGAAAGATAACCTTGATACTGGTATCCACTATTTTATCCACTGAGGACTGTTCTTCTAAAACCAGATTGTTTGCTTAAGATGATACCCATAGGAAAGGAAATGTTGAGGAGGGGTCACCAGCAATACTGTGTTGAATTATTTGGACATTACCAAAGGAAGTGTGTGATTTAAGGAACCACGCAGAGCTATAGGCATCCCCAGATCCTTTGTCTTTTGGGAGCTAGACCCCATGGGGTCCAATGAACTCCTAGTTACTCATTCATTCAGTAAGCCCACCTCTTCCACTGAGCTCTTGAGGAACTACTTTGGATGAAGATAAAACATCCAGCTGTCCCCCTCTCCAAAAATGACTGTGTATCTTTTTATAAAGGGGTTTCATGGGAATTACAAATATGCAGTAATTTTAGACTACATATATAGAAAAATAAAAATGAACCTCTGAAGTAATATAGTTAAGGAAATTTAATGTTCTCTGGATGACTCCTTTGTCCCTAATCCTGGGCTGTGAGGAGAAGTCCTCCAGGGACAAAATAGAGGCATCTTCATATGGGAACCATTTTAAATACAAATGGGATTTTTCCCCTCAAGGAGAAGGTGGAAAGTAGTCGGCTAAATAGAGATTTGAAGAAAAATAAACAGCCTTGACTATGATTCTTATAGGGAGGATTTGATAAAAGTAGCCACAATCTGGTTTCCAGAAGGTAGCCCACAAAGCTCATGAGAATCAGGACTTAGGAAAGAGGCAAAGAATGGCTGCATTCAGCAGAACCTGAGCCATGGGACAGGCCTGGGTGGGGAGCAGCTTCTCTTTCAAATCACATTATCAGGTACTAGATGACTTCTCTTTCTTTGTCTTTGATTTCATGCATCTTTCCCAATTGTCTGGGGTGGTGGTGGGGTGTCCCTATCCCTGTTTCTTTCAGGCATTAAATGTTTGTATTTATACATATGCTCTCCACACAGGGGTCTTGTTTGAGTATAGATGAACAAATGAAGATAAGGTGGAGCTTTCTCTAGATCCTAGAATTGACCCCAACCTGACCATGCATTAAAAGACCCTGTTAGAAAATCCCCTGCCATTGTGCCAGCTCCAGATACTGAATGTGTCCTGATTGGCAGAAGAAAGACCCTCTTAGTGGATGGAGTCTTCCAGGGTAGGGATTAGATGAGCTAGGGTCTAACTGACATCAACTATTGTCCATGTCCCTGATTTAGGATCAGAATTGGGCACCTGGTGCAATGGGCAACTGGTGTGTAGGAAACTCATGCCTCTTGGGATTATCCTCTTTCTTTTTAGACTCTAATGCATTAGAAGAAGAAAGGTTGCTTTAGTTGCTCTAAATTTTCTAATTCTATGTTCAGAGAGGCAAGTAGGAATTTCAGAATGTATTTTGTTTGGTGATAATTGCTAAATTTTTACATAACCTGATTTTGTGTTACAATAACCTAGTGGTTCAGGATTATGGATTAGTCTATTTTTAATGCGTGTGTAGAAGAGTTTTTTTTTAATGTACACACTTATTTTCCCTTCCTTCCTCTCTCTCTCCCTTCCTTTCTCTCTTCCTTCTCTCTCTCTCTCTCTCTCTCTCTCTCTCTCTCTCTCTCTCTCTCTCTCTCTCTCTTTCTCTCTTTTGCCTAATATTGACCAAGTGACCTAATCATGTCTACTGTGCCCTGGAAGGCCATCCTAATCTACTTTGCTATGGGATTGTAGTTTCTCTCATAACCAGCAGAGGACTTTTTGTTCTAATGCATTTTATTCTGCTTTGTTCTCACTAGGATCCTTTTCTGAGGATTTTTTACAGTCTCCAAAGAATAAATGCTTCAGGAGCAGATTCTAATTTGAGGAAACTTTTTTCTAATGTTTTACTTTGTCCAATTAGCTCTAATGATTTTGTGAAGGTATTGGGAAACCTTTCACCTAACATGCCATTGACAGTCTGAAAAGAACTGCAAACAATTTGCAATCTCCCACACTTTCTGCCCTCCTGCTGATATTCTGTGTGCATATTTTTAAGGAAAGTGAGGTTACATAAAACAGAATCTACAACAATAATACCATTAGTCAAGGTTTATTGAGCACTCACTGTATGTTAGGGAATATTAAATGTATTATATAATATCTAACCTGTCACTCACCCTCATATCATTACTATTTACCTCTAATAATAATCTTATAACATAGTTCTTATGATTATTATTATCCCCATTTTACAGATGAATAAATTGAGGCATGAAGAGTTAGCATTACTTGATTAAAGTGGCATAGCTAGGAAGGTTTAGACTAGATTAGGAGGCACCAGTAATAATGTTAATAAAATATATACTACCGTTTATTATTGATCAGTTAGAATAGTAAGAAAATTTTAGGTACATAGTACATTTAATCTTCACAACTCTATAAAACAGAGTTAATTATTGCCCATTTTATAAATGAGGAAGTTGAAGCTCAGGAAGGAGAATTTACCTAAAATCACATAGGAATTTACCTAAAATCACAAGAAGCCAGCAACAAGGCTGGAGTGTTACCTTGAGACTTCACTACCCAGCTCTGTATACCAAGCTTCCCTCCACCGACTGAGGTCCCATGAATTCTGTGTTCCCCTCATCCCTAGGTGGTATTTGGTGTCTGCCCACACATTTCAGCTTAGACTTTGAATGTTGTTTAACTCTCTCTCTTGTTGTGGACTGAGAGTAGGTCTCAGAAAGCAAAGATTACACCTTATAAGGCCTTGAGCATTGGGTTTTGGCAAATCTTTACTGAATAGATAGATGAAAACAAAACAAAAATATCTCTCTGCTTATACTCAATTTGACTCCATTCTCGCGTTTCTCTATCATTTTGTTTTACAGTGGAACTGTGGTCAACCAAGAAAGACTTACTGAGTGATTCTTTCAGGAACCACTGAATAGGAGTGTGGAAAAGAATGAGGGCTTTCCACTCTCACGTGGACTTTGCCCTCCAGGGACTTGGGTCCAACTCTAAAAGGCAGGCTGTGTACAAGAAGGTAGCCAAGTGGTTGAGTCCAAATGTGTCATTTAAACTTGGCCTTTTATGGAGTCTGACTGGCCTCAGCAGAGTGCCCTCCATCAGAACAGAGGCTTTCTATGGGTAGGACTGTGCCCTGGGGGATGGAAAAGCAGAGGCATTAGCTGCTGAGAGTCTGAGATGGTTAACTGTGTGGGTGTCATTCAGAGATCTTCACTAAGCATGAACAAATCACTCAGTAATTTCACTGCTTGTGTTTCATATTTCAGAGATTCCCCAAATAAAACATCAACTAGGAAAGTGAATTGTTACCTGGGTGTGCATCAAAGAGGGAACTCACCTTCTGTCGTGTGTCTAGAATTTGAGACTGAATGATGCTGTTTTTCTGGGATGAGTTAAAAATAAAATGTTGGAGAAATGTACATGATGAAAGTTGAGTTTTGATATGGCAGCTCCATGGAATAATACAGAATAATGTGGTTTTGATTCTTGAGTGGACCCCAAAAGTCTCCTTGTAGATTTTGGAAGGTGTGACATTTTGTGCATGTCTTGGAAAACACTTAACATTTCATTTTATAAGCATATGGAGTCTCTATTAGTCTCTGTAGGTACTTTTAGGCTTCTTGGAGACAGAGTGTGCCTTCTTTGGATTTGCATCCCAATGCTGAGTCCACGACTTGGCCTATGGTGTTTACTAATAAAGTCTGAGTGACAATCCTCCCGCCCTTCCTTTCCCTCCACTCTGCTGTAAACTTTCTGGACATCTTTCTGTTTCGTGAACACAGAAAACTTATTCCAGTCACAGAGGGCATAAGGACTTCATGTCTCCACTATTAGGAATACCCTACCCCAAATCGCCCATAGAAAACTGTTTCTTATTTTGGCCCAAACTCACTGAGTCCCCCTCACTGAGGCCTTTCCTG